AGAGTCCCCAAACTCCAGCAGCCACAGTCCCCCAGGCCAGAGCCCTATGTGTCTGGGTTCCAGGCAGTGACACGCATCTCCTGTGACCCACAACAGCAGTGTTGGGGTGCTGGGTCCCCGTTCAGCCCCTCTCCTGTTCCCAGAGCTGACTTGTCTACAAGAAAAGGTGCAGAGGTGGTTACTTCTGGAGAGACAGGGACTCCCAGCTCAGAGCCCTCTTCTTCCTGCCTCTCCCAGCCCCAGAAATGGTTGTAGAACTCCCCCATCTCCTGCTCCTGGGGTGGAACTTTCACCAAACCCTGTGGCCCCTGTCCCGGAGGGGACGGGGACCCTCAGCACCAGCTCTGAGCACCATCTGCCTGTGCGTGACCTGACCACTGAGGCTTCACAGCCCAGGGGACTGAACCCGAGATGTTCCCAGTTTGGACACAGCCCTCCTGCAATGGGAAGTGATAATGGAAGAGACCAAAGAATGACCAGTGTGGCCTGAGCAGCAGCTGGGGCTTGGGGCAGCTTCACCCCGTGTGCTCAGCTGGGTGTCACCCCTGTGAGGTTCATCCCTTGCCTGAGCAGCTCGAATCCTTCTCCACATCACTGGCAGTCCGTGAGTGGTGGCTTTGGGCATCCCTGAGGACACGCACCATGGCCAGGCTGTGCCATGGACTCCCCTTGGGTGCATCTTCTCAGAGCTGAGCAATGCCTCCTGAAGACATCAGGATTTGGGGAACAAGATGGATGTTTCCCAAGCCAAAGCCTGGTGGGAATAGGAGATTTGAACCAAAGCATGTCATGGCACATCCTTGATGGCTCCTGAAGCACCACCAGAAGCCCTGAGCACCCAGTGCCGAGCGCTTGCAGCAGCACTGGCATTACACCCATGCCAACCTCACCTGTGGAGCAGCCCTGGTTGTTTGGTGAAAACTCCACATTTCTCAACTTTATTTACTGCTTTGCTTGAAGATGAGATTTCTGACAGAGCCGTGGTTGCACGTCACCTTTTGTTCTGAGGTTCAGCGATGATGTGGCCAGGAGGAAAGCTGTGATGCCATTTACCCTTGATGGACTTCGCTTTGCACCTCCAGGAAGGAGAAGGAAAGCAGAGGATTGATTATTCCTCAATCACTCTGAAATAAAATAGATGGTGCTCGTAAGCGGGTAAAGCCTTCAGAGAGCAGGGCCAGGCCGAGGTGACACACACAACCTCTCCTGCCCTTGGTGCTGCAGATGGAATATATAATAAGAAGGTATTTGCCAGGGTTGATGTGTTTCATGAGACCATTAATTTGCTGTGGGCACGGTGGAATTCCCACCTCACCAGAAGCACTGCAGAGCCCATGTCCTCTCCAAGGTGGACGGTGAAGGAGCCGACTCCAGGTTTGCTGAGAGCGATGGGCAGTCTCCTCTGCAGGACTCAGGAACCCATGGCTTTCTCTCCCAATCCATAGATTTGGAGAAGATGCTGCTGTTGTTGAGGACTGAAGACAGAGTTGCAGGAGCAAGGTCCACACCAGCTCCCATTGAGGTGTGACCACATCCACTACCAGGCAGGAGAGTGTCCACAGGCCATCCTCTCCTTGGCTTTCCTGGGTGATGGTGTGTTTCTGCATCATTTCAGAGTGGTGGGATGCTCCTCTTGGGTGGAACAAACTGTAGCTTCACCCTGTACCTACAGCACAGCCTGTCATTGCTGCAGCCAGATGGACATCAGCTGGACAGGGACTGTGCCAGCTCATGGACTGACCCCAGGATAGAACAGATTTCAGGCTTTGAGCAACCTGGTCTAGTGGAAGGTGTCCCTGCTGATGGCAGGGGGGTTGGAACTGGATGAGCTTTAAGGTGCCTTCCAACCCAAACCAGTCTGGGATTCTGTGACATCCATGGTAACACGTGTCCTACCTCCACGATGCTTGCTGCGTGCTGGTTGCTTTTCCCCAGCACTTCAGGAGTTTGATTGCAGGATGCAGTGAGGTGCTGAGAGATCTGGTTCAGTAGTGGACAGGTACAGTTGGACTTGATGATCTCAAAGATCTTTTCCAACCAAAGGATTCTATGATTCTGTGCAGAACCAGCTGGAGAGACTGATGGGGACACAGGAAGGAAACAACAGAAAACCCATCCACACCTCTTCAGAACAACCAAAAAAAAACCCCACAGAGCTTATTTTTATCCTTGAAGGAGCAGCTTCAAAACCCCAAACTCTGTGACCAGCTCAGTTCCAGGGCGAGTGGACACTGGTGGCCTGTGCCCAGCATCACCCCACATTGTGGCCCTCATGAGCTGAGCAAGGAGCCAGGGCAACCCTGGGGCTATTTATAGCGAGTTAGAGATGAAGCCGGGGTTTAGATCGTGATGTCTTTTGCAGAGCTCTGTTCTGACAGGGAAATATTTCAGGAATTCTGAAGGAAACAGGGAGGCAGAAGGAGCTGCATTTTGGGTTTAAGGGTTGGAAAGGGGCTCGCTGGTCCGTGCAGTTTTTTCTACATCAATAATTTCTTGCTCGCTGCCACCCCAGAGAGGAACAGCCTGGGTGATGGGAAGCAGGAGAGCA